ATTATCAGTCCCCCCTAAGTCCTTTGGCATAACAATTTACCCTCTGTTTAGGGAGGCAGAATGTAAATTATTTACTCTTTCTTGCTTACTGGCCTGTATTATTTGATTAATTTCTTTTTAACATTTCTCTTCTCCTTCTTATTACATACACAACCTTTATAAATTTTATACTTCTAAATTAGCCTTCAAACCTCCTTTCTGTGTCCTTTAAAAATGCATAACCATGCCTTAGACCTTCTACTCAGTAATTCCTTATTCTTAGAAACCTCAATCCTTGTGTAATCTCAAGTATATTGTATCAGTCTAATTGGAAGGATTAAAGAGAACAAAATGGGACAGAGAAAAACTTACTGTGCTTAGTAGCAGCTTGCGGCCTTGAGTCCAGCATAGTTCAGATAAGTAAAAATCAACAAGAAACTATCTCTCCCTGCTCTCCCTGCCAATACCCCCCCCTTTTCTGCATTAACCATTCTCTCTGTCCTTAGCTGCTCTCCCTCCTAGATTTTTCCTTTTTTAAGTCCCAGAGACTCAAATCCTTCTCCTCTTTTACCACTTTTGATCTCTCTGACCATCCCCCTGTTCTCCATCCGAAGGCTCCTCCATCTCAGCAGGCTGAGAGCCTACCACCCTATCTAGAGAATCCTACCGCCACTACCCCATCTCACACCCGCTCCATCCCACTAGTTTGTACATCTGAAACTATAATATTGTATGTCAACTGTACAATACTTTGAACATTTTAAAAATAAAGCATTAAACAATACTAATATGTTTTTAAATGAATGACTGTGTAATAGGCATTTAGACAGACATGAGCAGAGCAAGGACAATGGGCAGGTACCAAAAGAGGGGCACCAGCGCAGAAAGCCCCAGGTGCCCAGCAAGGGGCAAACTGGGGCAAAAGGTGAAGCGTGGTAGCAATCATCTCGGGTAACAATTGCTGTTTAATACTTTAACCCTGCTGTTCTGGCTTCTGTAATTGTGTGCTTGATAAAACAATAGAGAAGTTATTTTGATTTTCCAAACTTATACAAATCATCCCATTCGATTGAATACCCCATTGATTGTGGATTGAATACCTCATTGATTGTGGTTTTATTGGTCTTTCAAAACACATTCCTCTGTACCTGGAGACCAGGACAGCACAATTACTTTAAATGGCTTCAGTGGCTCCAGATAATGTGTTTCCGTCTCCCTCGCAGTCGCCGGCTTTACTGATTAAATGACTCATTGATTTGATCTTGTGTCCTGTGTGTCATTCATGGGGACATTACAATAAAGGACCTGTCCCCAGGGTGGCCTTTCCTCCCCTGGCACATCGCTGGTCATGCGGTTTGGACCCCCTGACCTTTCCTCCCTAGAGATAGCATCTAGGCCTCAGTTGTGCCTCAGCTCCAGGCCCAGAAAAGCAGCAAAACCAGACAAGTGTTCTCTGGGGTACTGTATTGGTGGATGCATGGCACGACACATTGAACCTTAGAATGTGCAACACCAAGAGTGAACCCTGGTGTCCACTATGGCCTCTGCATGATGATGACGTGTCCATGTAGGTTCATCAATTGCAACAGATGCAGTGCAACGGTAGGATGCTGGCGAAGGGGAGCCTGTGCAGGTGTGGGGCAGGGAGTCTGGGGGACTCGCTGTACCTTCTTCTCAAACTAACTGTTGAAGGGAACCAAAATTCTGCCACCTGAAGCTGCCTCTTGGGTCTTGCTTTTAAGCTGTTTATTAGAAAAACAGGACTCAGAGGGAAACTTTGACCCTCACCAGTTTCCTGCCCAAAGGATTCAGACAGAGAAACCTGCGTTAGGAAGGAGATCTTAGAGGTCACCTTAGCCTAATTTGAATTAAGCATGGGCAATAGAAGGGCTTCAGACTGAGGGGGGGGGGGTGCTGCTGTTATGGGTTCAATCAGCGAGATAGACCACCGACTCAGAATTTAAATTTAAGAGCCTTTATTAAGCTGGCCAGCAACTTACAGCGCGTACCTCCTCACAAGGGAGCCTCGCAGCTGCAGTCCCTACCAAGAGTGCAGCAAAGCTTTTATTTGCAAAAACTACAAAGCGTTTCATTAGCTGTTCCTAGAACTGGCAGGGTAAAAAGTTCACAAGTACAAATGGGAGGAAAACGGGGTTACACCTGGTTGGGTTTAATCATAATACATTGTTTTTCTAAGACAATCAGTAATTTTTCTATGCTATGGTCCCTGCCCCTATGTCCCTAGCACACCCCTAGCACACTATGCCCCAGTTCATGTCCAATGGGATGATTTATAAGATCAAAATAACTTTTCTATTGTTAGGCCAAACAGCAGGGTTAAAGTGAAACTAGTTTCCACCTGAGATGACTGCTACTATACTTCACTGCTGCTAGCGAGATACCCCTGCGTCACATCGTTTCTGAGTTGCCTAGCAAGGACTTTCCTGCCACATGTGTTTCATTCTTCCTCAATTACCTGTAAGTCATTCATTCTTGCTTCTGAAATCTATTATCTTGTCCGACCCCTTTCTCTTTTGTGCAAAAGTGTCTTATATACATAATGTTGCCTCACCGCCTTTGGAATTTTCATGCTTAGGTGAATTCCCATATATATGTCTGAAAAATCATTTTTCTTCTGTTAATCTGTCTCTGTTAATTTGATAATTAGCCCAGCCCAGAAACACTTAGAGAGTGGGAGGAAAAGTATTAATACTTTTTTAGCCCCTACAGTGAACCTAAAACTGCTCTAAAAAAATACAGTCAACTTTTTAAAATCTATTAAAGATGTAGAAAAATAACTAGAGCGAAGAGATCTTGTCAAAATTCTAACAAAATCACTTCTTGCCTTGGACAGGTAGTCAGGTGGTTATGAGGAGGAAACTGGTCTTGCAAGGCGTGTCAGGCCATAGAAACTGTGAACAATGCACTGCCCTGGGGGGGTGGGGGGTTGTTATGCGGATGCCAGGACCGACCATCAGGTGTGGCCTGACAACTGGGGCCTTCCTGCAGGGCCACAGAAGGGGGCATATCTACAAGACAAAGACCCCAGCGGGATATATACGGACAGGCTCTCTGCATGTTTCTTCACTCTGATTTGGAAATGATTTCCAGAGTCCACTAGTGTTAATAAACGGGGTCCCTCCCTTTCTCTAGGAAGCATGCTTGGTATTTCTTTTGCCTTCTGTAACAGTTAGAGCGTCATCCCAATACTCAGGTTGCTGGTTTGATCTGCTTCAGGACACATACAAGAATCAACCAATGATAAGTAAGTGGAACAACAAACTG